TAATATCTCTGATCTCATTGTAATTGCATTTTTACATGTGGTATAGCATTTCAGCAACATTTACAAGGCTAATCTTCCTGGAATTTTCCAATAGAGAGGAAGTAGGATTGTGTTATTTAAGAAGAGACACTTAGTGGTACTATTTTCTGGGAGCAAACCTGAAGGGCTATTTTTCCTATAGTCACGTCTGTTTTTCTGCCCTCCCTGCCCCATGACAACAGTGTCTTTTCATGCTTTTAAATTAGAATAAGGTACCTAATGAAATATGTAAGTGCAGTACTTTGCTTCGTTTCTAATAGTCCCTTTGTGTATAATAGTAGAAACAATAATATACAGTAAAAGCATCACATTCTCTGTTTCAACTGACATCAAAAAGATATTAAGACTTAAAAGCTTTCTGCTGAAATAGGAAATCTGAAAAATAAAAAGTATTGCAACTATATCATAGTTGTAAACAAACACTTTCTTGGTACTGTTCTTTTTAAATACTTATTTCTGCTACATGGTGAAAACCTGGGCTTTTATACGACAGTGTAGATGGATTTACTCTTGCAGATTTATTGTTCTCTTTTTGGTACTTCATGTGGCAGAGCTCTCATGAATGGATTAGAGATACTTGGAAATAATGTGTCATGAATGAGAAAAATTAGGTACATAGCATAAACTCATTTATAATGTGTGAAAATCTAGCTCCTTAAGGTGCAAGACTGCATGTATGGACTCATAAAAAAAAAAAGGAAATAGACATTAACAACTCGGAGCCTTAGTCATACAAATAAAACATAGTGTGTTATAAAAATAGCATATACTAGATTTATATTTTTAGTAGCAGAAGATATTAGGAAAACATAGGAAAGCGTTTTTTTTGGCGAGGGACATAGGGACTCATAAAATAAACAGTAAAATGAAAGTGTCCCTTCTTTCAAGGAAACAGTCCAGAAGATAATTTTAAATAGTCTTTTGATGGTCATAATTCTCTAGCTCATACACAATATCAGGTTGATGTCCTCCCAGAAAACCTTGATTACTTAATTTACACTACTTTGAGGATTTAACTGGAGCCACGTTATTCCATTTCAAACTTATAGCAACACAATTTTTATTTAATATGTTATCAGAATGAATCAGGTTTTTAATCAGTTGTCAGGCAGAACATATCTACAATCATATGTAGCAAAGTGATCTTATCCCTGTTTACAGATTATCTTTTTTTTTAAAAAGACTATCTTTACAAAGATATAGATGGCTTGGAAAAAAAGAAGAAAATATGAATTTTGTATGGTGTCAGTATGTTTTCACTCTTCATTTTTAGAGAATGTCATCAACAAACTGACAAAGCCTTCACAGTTAAATGAAGAATTTATTCCTTTCCATAACAGAACAAGATATTTCTGCTGCAACTAATGAAGACATATTTAATATCATCTAATGTTAAATAAAACTGAAATAGGTACTTTGCTGACAGGGTAATTGAGGTAAACAGAAACTTAAGAACTTATCCCAATTATAGCTATTACTTTGTCCATCACTGTCCACCACAGTATCAAAATGGCAGGAACATAAATGATAAGATGGCAAGGCAATATATAGGTGAATAGAGAACAAAAAGTGTGAGAAAAAAGCCTACTAAGCAGTTAAAGGTACGATTTATAAATATAAAAAATTTCTTTGGAGAGAATAAAGATGGTGTAATGCCAAAGCAGAGGATCCTGAAGGACACCGCTTGCATGATTTTTAGGTATGCTGACATTGCATATATGTAGGCTATTGCGTTTTCAATAATTCTTCCTTTCTAGAACAAATTTAACAAGGAACATTGAAAGCTCTAATGCATTAAAGCATGCATATGGAAATCTTTCGCATTTTTCATACTGAAACATTTCAGGCTGAAAAGAGGACAAGCTGGTTTGATTTTTTTCCTACATATTTTCTAATATACGATTTAGAAGACTGTACAATACATGAAATCTTTTATAAGAGTTGGGTAGAATATTGCATATTAAATAAAAGCTACTCCCTAAACACCATGCCCTTGCTAAACAAGGTAGGATTCTTCATGCTAGGTCTTTGGAGAAGTATACCCAAAGGGAAACCTGTCCTGCTGCTTATTGCAACAGCTAAGTATTATCATCTTGGGTATAGAGGTTGATTTGCACATGAAAGATACATAGCACACGGTTTTGTGAAAATACATTTCTGACTGCTTCAGAGAACTCTTTCCTTACTGTTTTCATATGATAGACAGAGTTTCCCCGTGGTATCTTCCCATTCTTAAGAAAGGAACTAACTTCATAGTGTAAGAAAATACAAGACATCAGAGGCAGATTCTGAGAGATTCTGTAACTCTCCTTAGACATCTATGTTTGCTAGATAAAGCAAAATGTTCTCATGGAACATTTGGGGACTTAACAACTTAAAGCAGATAATATCCCATCAAATAAGAGATAGAAGACTGGCCACAAGACTTTTTTAAAAAACTAAAAAACAAAACAAAACAAAACAAAACAACCCAAAACAACCCAAAAAACCCCATCAAACTTTCAAGCCTCCTTTACAGGGGAAAAAAATGAGTTATGTTTTCATAAGACAGACCTAATGGTAGCTTACAAAGTCACTCAGTCATATCAAAACTGGAAAGGAGATAAAATTAGTGGGAGAGAGAAGGTGCCAGAAATACTGATTGCAATTCCGAAGATAATTTAGATTCAGTCATATTCCTCATATCCTCTATTGGTTAAATTTATATATTGCTTAATGAAAATTCTTCATACATCATCTAATGAAGGAAATCTTGAACCATTACAAGATTTAATGGACTGAAGTATTAAGAGTAAATATTGAAGCCTGTAGCTGAAATTAACACTTTTCAGACCATTTCTGTAGGGATAAAAGCGTATGAAAACACCTGGGAATCTCTTAAAAAAAAAAAAAAAAAGAAAAAAATTGTTGTTTATAAACATTTGTGATCTGAAGCAGCAGCTAATAAGGTAACAATTTCACAACCAGTTTACAGTTGTCCTGTTTCTCTCAGAAAACATTCAGAATTAAGTTTGAATACAAAGAAGGATTTAAGAGATTTATTGAGACTATATTACTACCAGGCATTTATATGAGCACAGCCAGCTGATAAAAGACTTAAGCCATACAGTATTAAGGAGTTACACCCATTTGCTTAGGGATAAAAACATTACATATGATCTAAAAAAAACAGATTCCATTTTGAATATTTAAATACCTGAAAAACAAGCTACAGTTCAAGTATGATACTGTTTCCAGAATTATTCAGGAATCTCATCAGACAAATGTATTTTAAAAGCCCTAATATTCCACATGTCTAATTAATCAGCCGAAAAATCAATGAAAGCTTTACCCGTGAAGAATCACTCGTCTTCAACAGTAAAAACAGAATAAGAAAAGGCAGGAGTTATATTCACGTAAATAGCAATGACAAATAATCTCAGTGAAAAGTACTGAAGAACAGTAGGGAGACAAAGATCAAAGGTCCCATATTCTGCTTTGTAAATGGTTGATCATCACATTCCAAGGAGTTACTTCTTGAATGTCACAGAGTAGAAACAAATATTCCTTATATTTCAGCAATATTGCCATCGCCAATGGAGATGTGACCCAACAAAATACAATACCAAAATGAACAAATGCTGACATCCAATGGAAAAATACAATACCAAAATGAACAAATGCTGACATCCAATGGAACTCTTTTCATAATATCTGGTCCTACATCTTAATGCATTACTATTCAACATCCTCATCCCTTCCACTACACAAAGGCTAGCATCAATTGACATAAAGAGTATGACAGGTCTCTTCAGAATATGCGCAAATACCAATACATCCTTGCATTCTTTTAAAGACGACAGACTTCCTGGCATGTCCTGGTAAAATTGCAAAAGTATGTACTTTCTTCCTTCAGAGAAAAATAGATCTTTTCTCTGAAGAGAAAAATAGATCTTCAGATCGCAGTTGGTTATTACTCTACACTCTCTGAAGAAAATCCTCTTAACCAACAAAAAATAGAATAGTAGTATATCACTTTTATTACATGAAACAACAGTAATTGATGTAACATTTTCAGAAAATCAGTAAAAAAAAAAAAATCCCCAATTTACAGATGAGATAAATGTGACTAAAAACTACAAAGCAAAACTACTACTTTTTTCTATAGAATACTGAAACCCCATGCAGCATATTAATCAATTACTTGCTCAAATTGCACTTTGAAGAGTGAGGTTGTTGCTTCCATGGGCGTAATAACAAGGCAGGTATCTCAAACTACAGAAACTTCCTATAATAGTCCCAAAAGTTGCTTTAGCAGAAGATAAACAGTGTAGAAGGAAATTATTTCACATCCAAACACGAGGCCTGCTAGACTTTTCTAATCAGAAAAATTCGAAGAATTTCTGCACTACCATATAACATCCATGTGTTATGTAACAAAATAATTTAATTCTGGGCAATTTTTTTTATACAGATCAATAGAACCAAATACATTTTAAATAAAATCTCACCAGTTGCCAACTCTACCCCTCACTCTGCTAAATAAAGAAATTTAAAAATGCTGAGTACTACATCTGTTCCTTCTCCAGTCATAGTAAACTGTTCACTGTCCACAGTACATACGCATCTTTAGCTTCAAAAAGCATTGAATTATTAATGAGTATTTTGGGAGAAAGAAAAGTTTTTTTGTGTTTAATGATGTCTCACAGGGGAAGCATTATATAATGGTCAAAAATGTACCCTGTAGGGTTTAATATTTCCTTAATATCTATTATCCTAAGTTCATTACTACAGCAAAAGGCCATCTCTATCCTCGAGCAATATCACATAAGCATCATTTTTGTCATTAATGAAATATCCAGTTATCTAAAATCATTTTTACATCATTAGAAAGACTATTACTGACTTTTCAATAGGCATACACTTTATATTGGATATGAAGCTTTGGGTTTTCCATCAAATAAAGGTGATAACATACTTACTTTTCTGTCTGGCCAATTATATTTTGCAAATATTGTATCATATGTATCCACAGCTCCATCAGTAATCAACATTATGGCTTGGCTGCAAATACTTCCTTGTCCTGTGTGATTGAACTGTGAAAGGAAACAAAGTTAGAGCACATTCCTGTTAGATGAAGAGAGATAGGATCACACTGGATAAACATGGATCTTGTCGAATCTCTAGCATGCTTAGAAGTAAGTGAAAAAGTCTCAGGTTGAAAACATTTTATCATAGATATCATGTTCTTACTGAATTGTAACTTCAGTTGTGTATCAGCTTAATAAATAAGAAACATACATAAATATAGCACTTCCTCAGATTAAGTGTATCCCCCTGTTTTAGACAGATTATATGTATTGATCATATACATAGGATTTGCTTTCATTTAAATATAATTTTCAAAGAACAAGCCGCACAAAAAGAAGAAGAAATGAACGACTGATAATTTTACTATGAAGTACAAAAGATACACCATTTATAGAAAGACATGACTATCCATTTGGCCTTCATATTCACTCAGGATTACATTCCATATATTATTTTTCATAAAATGTTTATGTGGGAAAACCAAATTAATATTATATATTCTCAGATTCTCCTATTACTGAAAACGAATACATATTAAGTAATTCAAGCTGCTGAACTGTATTTGAGCACAAGTACTTAGACAACAGTCAACACATCCTTTGGAGTATGCAAAGAAACTTTCATCATTCCACAAACAGGATTTTCTCCTGGGCAAAGAGCAAGTAAACTAGACTAAGTCATACCATAAGCTTTGATCTCTTGATTCTGGAGTTGGTGTCTTAATTTTGAATCCATCTGTCTCCATTTGCACTTATTGCACAATAGGTTCTTATTTGCCTGTGCATTGTTTTATATATTCAAGGAATTTAGGTGAAACATCTGGCTTTTAGCAAAAAAAATACAAACTTGGAAAATTATTTGCTTTTTTAATTATTCTGTACAAACACTGAATCTATGAAAAGACGAATAAACTGGGTCATTACACACAACTCTTTATAGAGTGGGCTAACATTTAAATACATGCTGATGAATTAGTAGTCTCCTTTTGTTCTCTTACTATGTAGTTTTCAGATACATTACCAACTTCGAGGTCCTACCACCTTTCTCTTGGTATTGAGAAAGCCAAGCTTGTCCCAACTCAACAGCTTATCTGTGATGAGTAGTGCCCAAAAAAGGGTGGTTCCATTTGAGAAGTAGTATTTAAATTTAAAGGTGAATTGCTTTGCAGGGACTCTACTTCTGGATTCAACCAAACTTATTTGGAGTATTCTAGTTTGATCTGGGCAAGCAACCGCTCTGTCTTTAAGATATCTGCAGTCTACTTGGCCTTATGTATTCACCATTCTTCCCAAAACTGTAAAAGCCTTTTTTCTAGAAAAAGTTCTTAACTTCTGAAAATATCGTCTTTGTAGACATGCCTGCAGTGAGAAAGGGAGTGGATGGTGCGTTCCAGCAGTACTCTCTCCTCTTTTCTTCTGCCTCCACATTTCTATATCTGAGTAATCCCAATCACTTGTATCATCTGCAGCTCTCCTCCAGATCAATTTCCTTTTGATCAAACAGGAACCTCAGTGAACAGTAATAGAAACACGTTACTTAAAGGGAAACTATTGTGGGTTTACAGTTAGCTATATTCTGGTTACTGCCTGTGTGAAAACTCTTATCTGTGACACCTGTAAGGCAGTCTAGCCTTAAAACCCTTCAGTCATGACAGTTTTTCCAGTCTTAACTAGAACCTGAATTACTAAACTGGAATTCCTCCGCTAGTATGATCTTAGATCTAATATTTTCTCATAAAGATGAAGTTACTTTGTCAAGGGATATATTCGTCATGTTGACAACATATTTTAAAAGAGACAAGATATATTAAAAGGGCAATTAACGAAGGGGGAATGCCTTCGTATATTTATTTTAAAAACACTCTGTATGCATCTGCATTATTCTATGTAGTTATCTGTTTGAATATTTTGAAGAATGAGATTAAATTCAAATGCTTTGATGAGTAATATCTTCTCGTATTTGTCTAGAATTTTAATTTTATTGAATAGCAAGAGTGATGAAAGTGCTTTCCATAATAATAACAATGACAAGAGCCTTATGATGAACTACAATTAACTCAGCGATTCATAAGTTAGCAGCAAAGATTTCAGTGCATCCTGACAATTACAGCGTTTGGTTGTGATTAACAGTCTTTGAAATGTCACAGAATTGTATTTAATTGACTACGATTTTTTTAAAGGTAATCACTGCAAAGATCATATTTGTCACCAAAAGAGATAATTGCAGTTGTCATGTGACATAGTAGGTGCCTACTACTGCACCAAGCACTTCTATGTTTTTATGCTGTATAATGAACATTGCATAAATTGATGATCAGAAAGAATTTGGAAGTGGATTTTTAAATATTCTTTTCAAAGACATCAGTATCAACTATCTTCAAGTCTTAAGAACCTAGGCAAATACTGAAAAGTAATTGCAAGGCAAAATTAACGGACTTTAATTAGTGTAACCCCTGAACCATTGTAAAATCCAACGGGAATCTTAATAGACTGTGTAAAACAAAGCTTTTCCCCTTTTTCTTTCTTCTCACACACAACCCACCCCCACCCCCCCGCTTTCTTTTTTTTTTTCTTACATCACCCCCCTAAATGCAGATGAGACATCTTGAGCTAACCTATAATTCACAAGAACAGATTTCTGGCACATAAAGGCTACATCCTATAGACAAAGTAGAAAATGTTTATCTGTACTCTTTTAAGGACAGATTAAATGGCTTTTTCTCTGGCCTAGACTGCTTAATAGAAACTCCCAGAGACTTTACTGATATTCCTGTATATAACGGAAAATATTTTTCTACTGTTAATTCTGTAAGTATGTATGCAAGAAGGCTTGAAGCTATTATATTGCCTTTTAAAGTATAAATAGAAACAGCCATTACTCCACTTTGAATAGATCTGAACATACATGTAGCATGATCCATCATGACCTTACAGATCAAAAGACTCTCACTCATTACAGGTACGATTCAATACATGGGATGTCATTTCCCTTTATACTCAAAATTATCAGTGTATCTAAAGAGATTTTTATACTACATTCGTCATTAGTACTTTATTTGCCTTAAGACTTTAAAATAAAACAAAACAAAAAGAATTTCATTTTAAATTTTTTCCCCCAAAGAAATGACTATACTTAAGAAAACACTTTAATTCATTTTCATGAATATAAGCTCAGTTGAAAAAAAGGGGGGAAAAGGAGGAGGTAAAAAGGTACTGGGGGGGGGGGGGGGTTTTGGGGGGAAAAATTATTCTTGTATTTGTGACTGAAATATTTCTTTCCAAAGAAACCTTGATAAATGTGAGTGACAATAATAAAGTTTCTAAAAATATCAGTTGGCACAACTCAATCTTTATTCTATCATTTGTTAATTCATGAGTTATGACTAGTTTGTCTGTATTCTTAGAGTCCAATTGAGGTTAATTAGGGTGCATATTAATTCTAAAGGTACATGATTTTTAAGATACAGGATCTACTAAGGCTAGATAAGCTGATAAACAAATGGCCTGGGAAATGTTAGGCAAAAAGAGAAACAAAACCTGTTTTCATGACATGAAGAAAACTCAAGTAAGAATATGCCTAAGAAGTTATCAGAAGTAAAAATGTACTATAAAAATGGTTTTCCAGCTTTCTTCACTTTTCTTACTGAGCTTAGTTGTACAGAGACTTTTACTGAATTTAATTTGTGAAACAGAAATTAAGTTCCTGTAACATTTACACTGAAAGAAACGTATCTCATTTTAAAGGAGAGACGTTGCAGTTTTTAAAATCGTACCACTTTTCAGAGCAATACTTTGACTAGAGAGGAAGGGTGATTTAATTTCTAATGATGTTTCCTAATCAACACTCCAAGGCATTGTTCAAACCAAGAATGATAAAGCAAACTAGTTCTCAATCTGAACTATCAAGCAGCATGATAGGGGGTCTAAATTGTCAGCACTAATCTTGGGATTTTCTGTGATACTACAGATCACACTAATACCAGTTTTTTCGAGTCCATAGAAATAGAAATTATAGATTTCTTGGAAAAAGGCAATCATGGAAGGATGTCAGGAGGCCAGTTTGGCTCACTGAGAAGAGGTACCCTGGATATGTTACAGAGGTTCAACTAGTATGAACAAGGCATTGGTTTGCTTATTTTTGAAAGCTTGTCTCTAAAATTTGTAAATTTTTTTTTATCTTTAAAGCTCATATATATACATACACACACAAAAATATGTATTTATTTTTCTGGATATAAAGTGTGATTCTCTCTCAAGGACAAGCTGTTCTTAGAAAGAAACACATACTAATGTTACACAATATTAACTACGCCAGCTGGACCACCACCATGATAAACATATCGAAAAGGATTAATTTCTATCTGTAGACAAACTAGAATGCCTAAATACACAAGAAATTACATTCTCACCGCAACATCATCAGACATTTAGTAAAAGAAACTGATCATCTAAAAAACAAAGTCCATATATTTCAACCCAGTAATTTGGGCATCAAATCACTATCTTGTACTCGAATTACATAGCAATCTCCCTTTTTTGTTGCTTTCGAAAAGCTTTTAAAAGCCTTTAAGTAATCTTGTCTGAAAAACTCAAAGCAACAGATCTTGCATAATCTATTTTAAAGGTTACTTTAAGTAAGTCCATATGAATTTAATAGACCTGCCAGGAATTTGATGTTGCTCTGTATTTCTAGACAATACCTCCCTCCACGCTAAAAAATAAATGAAATAATAAAATAAAATAAAATAAAATAAAATAAAATAAATCTCCCACTACACATAGGGGTTCTAAATCAGGATCAACTCATCTCTTAATTTATTTAGATTATTAAAAAGAATATATGCATAATCTTTAAATATTCTCTTTTCTTTTTTTAGTAAAGAGAAAGCTTTTCTGGAAACTTCAAAGCATTTTCAATCGTATCTTAAGCTGTTAATATTAACTTCAAAAGAAAGCTATAGGGAATGCTTTAACAGGCTGATAATGCTTATTTGTAACATCCAACCACTTAGCAGGAGTTGATCCTGTTGGAAGGTGTTTAGTCACTTTTGCTGACTCCCTAATGCGGTTCCAAGGTTACCAAGATGCAAAGAACAAGGGTTTGGCCTCCAACTAAAAAGAGTGAACTTGAGGCAAGATGGAGCATTCTGAAAGGATCCACAGAAATAGGAGTTCTCATTTTCTTGCCTACCACACTACCTAGACCACATTCACTCTTAATGCCATGAGAAATATTTGACGATGCGTTCTATTTTCATCGGTTTCCTCCCTCATACTAATTCTCTTTCATTACTACTTCTGTTCACTTTTTTCTTTCCTTGCTTTTTCCAATATACGTTCCCAAGAAAGTATATGGTCAGCTGAATCAAAACATTACTAAAATTGTTTTTTGCTGGGATATGTAGCACAAAAATTTATTTTACCTTTGCCAGGTAAAAAAGCCTCTGAAATACAGTACATAAAATCATTTCATGATAACCATTAAGATTGATGTGCACCTTGTGAGGAAAAGCATTTCAAGCAAAGACAATGGGTCTGATATTAATTAAAATATCCTTTGAAGGACGATTTCCTGGGCAACTAAGAATGCTACACAGATTTTGTGTGGAGTTTGGGAGGCAAACTAGATGCCCTGTACTATATTATCTCTTTGATCATGATGTTCATCTTCTAGAGACTGCATTCCTGTTTATAGACATTATTCACAGGAATGTTATCAGAAAGTTGGCCTTATGTTTTTGGCAGATAAATAGTTAAAATTTTATTAATACCTGAGTTCTATCTATTTCTCCCTCTATCTTAAGAGTATTAAGGAAGTACAAAAGCATTCAAATAACTTCTTTTGTATAAGCTATGAGAGATTAATTGTCATGCCAGAAGTCAAACCAATGAACAGTCATGTCACGACTCTAATAACAATGTCCATTCTCAGCGTTCATGAATATACAAATTCCTGTCATTTATAAAATGCTAGCCCTTCTAATGAAAAAAAGAACAAACTAAACTATGAAATTTGTGTGTTACCCTAGTATTTTTTAACATTTAGAACAGTTACTGAAAAAAAAAAATTATTTAATGTACATATGTACATGTAGGTGTGTACTGTATATATAGACAAAAAATACAATTATTAAAATGTATACACATGAAAATGTAAATTTGTTTATATCTTTCACCACACATAAATCATACAGAATTCTTGTTCAATAGGTAATATTTTACTATTATCACATTTTTGAGTGAGTTCTAATTTATTATCTTAAAATTGGCAGAAATTGCTAAATAGCAAGAAAGGTGTCAGCAGCGTAAACCTGAAAAGCATTAACTTACTTCATTGAGCATGTTGAAAGCTTCACTTAAAGCGATGTCCAACATTCCAATTCCTTTTGCAAAAAGTTTGTCAAGATGTTCCCTGAAATGCTGAAACATGAACAAGGTTTTATTTGTCAGCATATTGTTATGACATACATGTTGATATCCATGATGAAGGATTTCTGAATTCTTCTTCAGACCTACTTCTTAAGCTTAAATGACTGCATACACTAATTCATAAAACAAAGTATTTCCTGGTTAATCCTTTTGACCCTTGAAGTCACACTAAACTAAGGATGTGTTGGAACAATCATAATGCGAATGTATCACAAGATATGTTTTTGGCTAGTTGTTCAATTGAATTGTTTCCCTTTGGGTTTTTTGTTTGGGTTTGTATTTAGGGATATCTATATCTTCTTTTCACTTCATATAGTAATTTCTATATTGTTTCTAACTATTCGCTTTCTAGGTTTTCAAGATCTGTTACTAAATAAAAATAATTCTTTCTGAAATTTAGCTTTGAGAGTCTATTTTTTGTTATGATCCCTCCCAAAAAGATGGTAGAGCCTAATCATCAGGCCATTGCAGTTTAAATGCAGTTTGTCAATGTCAATATATTATTTAGATCGTTAAAGAACTACTCTACACAAGAGGAAAGACAGGGTTAACCACTTGCTAGCTCTATGTGACTATCTTCAGTATTGTGTTGCATAGTCACACTTAAACCAAATTTTTGCAGTTTTAAATGGCTCATCAGTTATGCACTGCCACACTTGCTGGCCATAAGCATGGGTAAAATTTATAACAGGCAGTTCTTAGAGGCTGACAGGTCAGAATTCATCCTATATTTTCCTCTTTCTAAACATATGTTATCTCTCTGGATATGTTAGAAGTTTGAGAAATTTCACAAATTTTGTACTTGACAAAAATATAGGACTACTATAAATATATAGATTAAACTATAATTTTTTAGAGAAAATGTAAGATAAAGTAAGCTGAAGTACTAAGTAGCACATTTTCAAAACAATATTAGCACTACTTTCCAAAAATAAAACATTCAGAGGAAAAACAAATTATCTTAGGTTTATAAGAAGGAGCAATGTATCATTAAAAACAGTATCATGAACCATGCTATCATAAATGGACATTGTATGCAACATCAACAAACAAGTGCTTCACTCCCCTGATTTTCTATGATGGAAACATTTTTTTAAGTTCATAAAATCAAAAGATATTACAGCAGTATATTGGAGGGCAGAGAACTTACTATTTAATTATTAAATTTCAGTAAGTTGAAACAGGAAAATTTACATCCTAGCCTCTAGGCAATTCTGAAGCCACAAAAAAAAGGTTGCCTTTTCAAAACAATTACTTCATAGTGACCTAGTAAATGTGGTTCATCGCAGCTCAATACTTTTAACAGCCGAAAGGCACAGTCTTAGTGCAAACGCCCATACGGCTACACTGCAAAATGGTTCTTACCCCCCCCAAACTTACATAGCTGACTTCAGTAAATACTAGTCTGTATCTTCATAGTACTATTAATTACTGTTTTAAATACATTTTAAAATATAAAAATTAATTTGTAAGAAGAAAATTATATGTGGTGGGAAATAACAGGGGAGGCAATGTTTTCATGAAACATTATTTCAGTCTCCACAGCTGGATTAAAAAGTTACCTCAACATGTTAGTAAGTGGAAATTTTTTATTTATCAGTCTATTGGTATTGAAGCGTTATTGTGTAGGCTAGAAAACTAAATCAAACTAATTATTTATGTAAAAGGATTAAATCCCCCTGTCTCTTGAATCGTGCCTTTCATATTTTTTACAATTAATAATGAAAATAAGAATGAACACAAAATACCCAAATATGCAATAAACGCAACACCCTCTTGTTATTCTGTATCCAGCTTGTCATTCCAAAGTATCTCCAAAATTTAGGTCCAAATTGATCAAAAGCCACATTGGTGCATACTTGACCTCAACTAATATGGCCTGGAAATTGAGAGCAGCAATGCGAAGATGGCAGTTTCCCAGACAAGGGCTACTTCAGCTGTGAGCAGCACAAGACAGTGTGCTATTACAAAGCTATTTCAAACACAATAACTGACTAACAGTCAGATTCAGAAACTACTGACTTCAGTACTTAGAGTGACTTTAATATGTATGGCCATCAGTCCACATACAAAAGGATTAACTACTGCACAGGACTGTTACAGTCATTAAAGCTTTTCAGAAACTCAGAAAATACAACTGTTTATGAAATATGTAAAGTCCACATGAATTTAAAACTGTCCATTGGAATTCTTCAAAAACTGAAATGTATCATGTTTAATACTTTTTCCAGGAAACATCTTAGCAAAACCAGTTTTACATACAGTAAAACAGAAAGTGTAGTTAACAGGTAAAGAATATGGAAAACAAGCACTTTAGTACTGTTTCATCCATGTCAAAACCAATTTAATAACATCAAAGTTATGTGTTGACCAGACATTTTCAAGCTGCTGAAGCAGTCCTATGCTCACAGCACATATCTCCCAGATACATGGAACAAAGGTCAGTTTACAGTTATCACAGACGCTTCCCTGATAACACAGGGATTCACCCTGAAACAGAGGAGCTGTCTAAAAACTGATAAAGCAAATTTTTTCTTTTTGGAAATAAGTTTCTAAGCTTACCTTTTCATAAATTAGATATATTAAATATTTATTACAAATCATATTTCTCTTTGGAATACATTGCTGCTTCATAATTAAACTAGAATTATTTTGATATTAAAAAACCACAATAGTTTATAAAATCTCTGAACATTTCAGAGAAGTACTGTGGAATGTTCATTACAATGCATATACATTATCAAGCATGTATAACAAATTACCAAAAATTACTAGTAAATTGTATAATCTCTAGTATATAATTCAGTTCACTTAATCTGTCAGAAGAATAAATATTTTCTCTTGCCATAGCTATATACATAGGTTCTGAAAAATACCCTGTTGATATATGAAGAAACAGAATAGTGATATTTGTTCGCTACAAAATAGTAAAAATGTTAAAAATCTATTTCACGCGCTATGAATTTTAACAAATCAATGTTTTCTGCCTCCAGGCTTCACAGTGAACAGATGCTACGAGGTGATTCTGCAAAAGGACTGAATAACTAAAATGTATGTGTAGTTTGGCCTTTGTCTGGAGGTGATTTGTGGATGGGTTTTATTTGTTCTTTTAAACCAACTCCATTCTCTGTCTTGTCTTTGTTTTTTTTGAGAATTTCAGCACTTTGTATGTCCACTGGAAAAATCACACAACATGCAAATTAACATTTCTTTGTTTCCTCTTTTTGTCATACCAGATGCCCTGGATGTGTGGCATTAATTGGATCCATGCCAAAGGAAATCATGTTTCATTTTAGAGTCAGCACAAAGAACAGCTTCCTCAGATTGTTTTCATCTGGGGCTGTTTATTATTAAACAATCAAGATGTACTGTTGTACTTTCATAGAAACTGTTTTTTTTACCCTCTTAGAGTGGTACCTTCTTCTGACTTCAAAGAGCATACTAACGACACAACTACTATCTGTCATGCTGTTGTTTAAGGAAAATTTATAAGAAAAAAATCCAAATCTCCAAACGCTCATCTTTTCCCATTTCACATGTCCAGTTAGTATAGCAATGTCCTGACAGCCATGCTACAGTGCCCACTTCATTACTGGAAAAGGCATTTGTAAAAGCATTATGTCCTTTGCTTATGAGAAACCCAAAGTTTCAAACTACTACACTTCTCAAAGTTTCTCTGCAGCTTGCCCACACGTGTCTCCAACTGCCACTCAATAATTTTGTCCCTTACAAAAGCACTGCAAAACAGAAAAATGTATTTCAACCCTACTAGGAATGAAAAGAGTGAAAAGATTCCTGAAAGCAGGAGTCAGTCCCCTGCTCTTAATGAGTCAAAAAGCATATTTTAATCTTTACATCTTAAATAGCTCTTTTTATTAATAAACTGCACAAGAAATAATATTGGTTCATCTCAGTTTCTCTTTACTGTCCTATTGGAGCCATTGTAGATTAACATCTGAATTTCTTAGTTTGAATTAGATATCTGTCCAACTGTCTGCACAAATATTCACATGCAACTGTATGCCTAATTTCCATGTGCAACTACCAGAATGTGCAATATCTAATTGTGGACTCAAATACCTAATTGACATGCATAATCTTGGTAATTCTGAATGCAAATTATGCACACAATTATGACAATCAGACTCTGATGTCTGATTACAAAATTACAGGGTCAGATCTCAACAGGAGAATTTGTGTCTTATTACAGTGAGGAAGCACAGACATGTTCAGCTGTGGAGGTATCTATGATCCATTCAGAAGTGACTGAAAAATATGAGCTGAAGAAAGTGAGGATAGAAATCCACTTGTACATGTCAGCCAGGACAAGGTCTTTGCATATATATACACAAGAGTTCAAACCAGAACATCAGCAATGCATACACTTGGTCTTGTAACCTTGCATGCTGCTAATTTTGTCTGTTTATAAACACCACCCACTGTCAAAAACAGAAAGTCTCAGTGATCCAAACATCTGATAATAAACCATGTATGCAAATCAAAAAGGTTCTCTCCTTTTATTTTTAAACTGTGTAAAGTTTGTTAGAACCCCCTAAGTCAGAAACAAACCAGCAAATACGTTTAATGGACCTAGAATCAGAAAATGGGTTCTTGTCCTAGGTATAGTTACAAAAGCCTATTTGAAGAGCAGGGTATACTGACACTGTTTTTCCAAAGACGAAAAATAATTTTAACACGCCTATTTCTGCTTAAAAATCAGGTGTCCCAACTTGACTTGGACTGTTTCAGAACTTAAATGAGGAGAAACATAGAAAAATTTTTATTGGTCTTCATGGGACAGTTAAAAAGAATATTAAAATCACACCACTGTTGTATATGGCTTTGGCATAACTGAATAAGAGGATAAATTTATAACCATTGATCATGATTAAACTTAGAGTTTCTCTTATACTGAGATTATTGAAAGCAATTTTTGGTACACCCAGGTATATTCACCTTTTCTGGCCTCACAGCTTAATCACAATTGTAGG